GTGTCTTAATACTAGCTTGCAAAGACGAAGTTAAGTATTATATCCGGTTTTGTCGCGGCGGAGCTGCGACAGAGACGATGGCGGGCGTGGAAGCTGAAAATTCTACTTCGGAGGATGCAAGTCGACACTGCAGCAGAGGCAGAATTACTGGTGCTTTCGTATCTACCCATGCCTTTTCGAAGTTCGACAACATATGGGTTTCTGAAAATACTGTCGATTCTAACACTGACTTGGTGGTACCTTGGCACTAATTTCTTCGTCAACAAGCCATCAACTGCATCTGATAAGTATGCGACCATGCGTCAATTAAATGCAGCCACGGACACTCCAGCTTCCATGGAGAAGCCAGTGTCAACGTCGGCGCCGTCATCTTTGGATGCACCGAGCCCGCGACTAAGCTCTCCTGTATACCAGGATACTCGTGAATCCCAGGTATTTCCAATGCCAACCCGTCAAGGACTTGGTTGTTGCCGAGCTGTGGGGTTAGTGCGAACTACAACGAGCTGACAAGCGGCACCACTGACGCCGTATGCCGATACTAACGTATTATAAATGATAGGTACTCGCAATGCGTCCCAACAGAGAACTTCTATGGTAACTTCATATCAACTAGCTCGATTTTATAACTTCGATTTCACAAACCATTATTTCTCTTTCCAAAGCTTTTTGTTGTTTTGTAACAAGCAAGGTAGATTTCCCACCTGTTTATGGTATAGAGCCGAGTTCTTGTAGCCTAATTGATGGTCTACATTGTGTTCTGAAAACATCTAGAGGGCATATTGTGATCTATGTGCTAAGAGCTTTCCACCTTAGTGTGCATTTTCGCGAAAGAGCTACGTCTTGGACTCAACACCAAACTGGAGGAGCGGTGTCAAGCCTTGTGAGATCCTCTTTAGCTAGGTGAACCATGTTGCTTGGTGAAAGTAAATCAGAAAACCTGGTTGGGAATGCACCTTTCTCTTACAGTGTTAATTAAGTTGAACAATTATTTTTGTTAAATCGACAAACCAGCCTGGAAAAAGATTGTTTCAGTAACAATTAGACGGCTAACTACTCCTGGTACTGCGCGCAGCTGCAGCCATACGTGTAGATCTCGGACCCGCGGATGTAGTCTATCTATTATGTTCATAGAGGTGTTGCGGCTGCCCTGCAAGCGCACGAGATGTGTCGACAAAAGAAGTCCCAGCCTTCGTAACTTAGATGATTGTTTTCCTTTTGCTAACTGTCAGAGCAAAGTGTGACTTTGAACTGTAGGAGCCGCAAGATATTTGGCCACATACACCATTGATGAACATGCGATTCATAGCTCAGTCATCCATGTGATTAACCTTTCTCAGTAATATATACATATATATAACCTACGCCGAAACCGAGCTATGCGTCGTAAAGTACGCGCATGATCGACTTAAACTTGCGTAAAGAGCCCCCACTATTGCGTAGTTCAGCTAATTAGTAAATCTGTACTCGTTGCGATCTAACCGAAAGGCCATTGGACTGCATCTGTACGGTGCTGCGGTGCACACTTGGTAAAGCACCCAACATACTATTAATAAGGTATTGACCTCGTTAATCATTTCTTTGTCGGTAAACTCACAAGAAACGTACGACAAACAACGCGATAAGAGATATTCGTATTGGTATTTGACTAACAACCGAAAGTGATATCTTTCACGAGACACATGTTGCTTGTTTTGAACTTGACACTCTTCCACTGCTTAACTTCCGGCTGGTTTGATACGACCATATCCTTTCGCTTTGTGCAGCTTCTGCAGTGCGTTGAATGCTTGCTGGTACTCCTGATATTTTGTGGCACTCATACCTCGTAGGACAGATGCTGGATTGACCTTGAATAATCCCCAGTCGAGGTCAAAACGGCGAACCAACGCTTTCAGGTCACTCTTGGGGATGGTTCTTTCTTCGAAGTCGGCAGCAGTCGTACGGTGGGCGTGGTTGGTCCTCAAAAACCGTTGGTCGGCCACGGTAGCATGACTGGTAGCCAGGAAGGTAGCAGCGATCACCGCAAAGACGATAGATAGACGCATGAAGCAGCTGAATGGCTGGGTGGTTGAGCGCGAGAAAGAAAATTGTGAAGTGAGAGAAGAAGAGGTCTGATGCTTACCAACGTTGTGTTGGTACTACAAAGACATCTACCGCAACGGCAATTGGCGCCGTTGATTACAAGTGCATCGCAGCGGCAATTCACGGCGTTGGTTATAAGTTCCGCCGAGTCGGCAGCATTCGTATCGCTTACAACGTGCTTATAACCCACAAAATACACAACGATCGTTTAGCTTGGCCGAACAAAAAGATAGGATTAAAAACGACTGACCCTATGGGTGAGAGAGATGGTGATGATGGGCTCACTAGGTATTGTCTTGGGCGAA